GGACCCATACCATGCTACTTGTCCTTAAAGCCACATGCCTGCAGATGAGCCAAAACTTTTCAAGAAAATTAAAATTAAAAAAAAATGTACTAAGAATTTTTTAAAAAGTAGAAAGATTCAAGATTCAAGTAATATTTTCCATGTTATGTGTGATAATGACTAATTAAGCAGTATCTATCACCATATTTCTACTGCATGACTAATGCAGTATGGATTATTTTTGCATATTTTGACATCTTTTTGGTAATTCACGTGGATTTATCGTGCCTTTTGCAATGTGTAAATTACCTTTTATGTCCACATCACAGTATTTTACTTTTAAATACATTTTCAAAATTTTGATAAAAATAAGCATGAATCTGGAGGCATGCTGCTTTAACTCATTTAATACCAACGTCTCAGACTATTCTGTGATATAAATCTGTCATTCATGATTTAACAATCAATTTGAAACAAACAAACACTTCACATACACATACATCAACCATTGTCATGTTCAAACAATCATCAATCATAAATTAATCAACACAACCTAGGCGCAAGCTTTGAGAATAATATAATCATTAAATGAAATGAACTCATTGTTAATACTGCAGCTACTACCACTATATTTCATTCATCTGTAAACATGTGTATGTTATGAAAACAGGAATCGCTTAAATTTTATTTTAAATAATTAATATTATTTGGTTTGCATTAAATCACACCAACACTATTAAGGTCATTTTTCCAGATTTACTGGTAGAAGAAGACCTCCAACTTTCATACATTATTTCAAGAATGAGCAAACACCTGAGAAGAAACAACACCTTTCCATAAGCTAGCTGTGTTAAGCTTCTCCACATATAAGAATACAAAGTACCAAATTAGATTCGAGTGGCCACAGAGGTTAGGACCTTAGGCCAGGGGTAGCTGTTTTTAAGCTAGCAACCTTAACCACCTTGTCACAGAGACACTAAAAAAACTTGAGTCCACAACAAGGTACCAAATCCTACAATGTGCATGGTTTAATTTCATAAAATCTTTCTGGATAAGTACTTGGAACTGACAATATAGTATTGAAAAGTTTAATATTTCCATATCAAAAGGGTGAATTTAAGAAACCAATGGCACAGAGTCTGGTCACACTGCACAGATGAACAGGTTAAATTGGTTCTAGGTTAAATTAGCATAAACTGCTTTACTTTAGCCAAATTAGGGTCAACATCATTCCAATTACAAAACAAGCAAAAACTGTAAGCATGGTAAAAATTTTAATTTTCCTCTATTGCAGTTCAAAGTTCTGTTCAATTTACAAATAACATGACTTTTTTCAGAAATTCTTTTCCTCAAATGTTGACCATCATTTATACCCCATCTGATTTTGTAATACCTAGATACATTGTATATTCCATAGCTCAGATAAATGAAATACCATTGATATAATTAACTATTCAAATTAATGATTTCATTAACATAATTTTATGCATACTCTATGCAGGCACTTAATGAAAAACAGCATCTCAATTAATATATATCTCATTAAAATGTCTATGCATGTGTATATAAACGGGTACCTTGAAGACCTTAAGCTAATTAGTAACATTATTCATATGTACATAACATTTTGTATAAACACATGCAATATCACTATACCATATGCACAGTACAGTATGTAACTGCACTACTACTAGCCTCACCACATCCTACAGTTTGAGTGGTTTCTTCTACATCTACATAGATTGTGTTATACTAGTCACTGACGTACATTTGTAATCATTAATATTAATAAATTAACAATTAATAAAAGAATTCCTTTAAACTTATACAATAGCAAATAATAATTAAACAATATCACAATTTACTCTGATATTTTTTGTTTGTTTTGGGTTTAACGTCACGCCAACATATTATAGGTCATATGGAGACGTTCCAGCTTTACTAGCGCAGGAAGACCTCAGGTGCCCTTCCCTGCATTTTTTCAGGCACGAGTAGAACCACTCTGATAATTATTCGGTAACATTGTTTACATTTACCGCTAAATGATAAACTGTCACTTTATATGCAGCATAAAATTTTATGACATTTAAAACATAAAATGCTTCATCAATTGTTAAATGTTACATGTATAATGTTGTTTTGTTTTCTATCTTTATATATTCAATATTAGTTTTAAACAATGTAAAGAAAATGTCTTAGATCTACTTTAAAAGGGCAGTCTGCTTTAAAATTTCAAAATGCTGCTATTATTGAAATTATTCTGTTTGTATAATGTCTTGGGAATTGTTTAAATATTTCTCTCTGAGCAGGAATGATTTATAAGTAATGAGATACTTTATTATTTATTTCATAACTGACAGTGTTGTGTTGTATTTACCTAGTTCAAAATAATTTAATATTGAGTATCAATAATATTGAGTCAATGACTAACTTAAAAAGAATCACATGTCAAGTTCAAAAGTTGACATTTTATTCACTCTAATTCACCAAATAGTTGAAAGTTTTTTCACATGGGCATATCATACAAAAGTTATTCACATATACAAGATCTTCACCTGTAACATAATTATATAGAAAGCATAAAGGAAAACGTCATGAATGTAAGAACAGTTTACATGTATGCCTTATTTCTAACAAACTACCAAAACTGTCATACTGTCACTACTGACAGACCTGATTATGCATCAGCCCCCTGCTAACCCCCATCTCCCACTAAAAAGGAATTTATGATGGGGGCTTTGCATTTGTAAAAGCTCTGTAAAGGCCCTACCATGCCTATACAGATGGTAAATTACCCCATGTGAGTAGGACATATTTTTATTATGATTTTTGGTGCCTTATAACTTCACAGCATAGGCATGGCCAGTGAATGGACAGGTGAATACTAAAAAAAACTCTGCATGCTTATTGCCACTGAACTGCAGGGCTCTATGGGTAAAAGTTGTGTTTACAAATGTCAGTGCATTTTAATATACACTTTATCAATTTTATATTCGGAATTCCTATGTTTCTATTAAGTTTTTTCTAAGACAAGGAGGCATTCATAACATAAAAACGCAACTGTGACTTTGAAACTCTCAAATGAAGCAAATAAGAATATATCTTTCCAATGCAATCAATTTATGTTGAAGGTTGTACATATTGGTGGTAATGTTATTCCACTGTTAAAAAAGTCCAATCAAATAAAAAATGAAGCCTGATACACATAGCATAGATATGCAGCAAAATTCATGTTCTAAAACCTTTACCCTGTAACCCTAAACCTCTAGGCTCTACCTTAACCCAAGATGTAATCTGATTGCATGATTTTATGGAGAAACATAAATATTGAAGAAATAATATTGGAATATTTTAAAATGTTAAATAATAGCTGCGATCAGATTCTTAAGTCTAGACTATACTAGCATTCATTTATTTTTACTTATTTTTTTTATCTTTATTTATCTTTTTATTTTTTTCACAACCATAAAAAAATGTCATGGTCCAATTGCTGCTGATTTACACTAATCTGTACCATCATTATTTGTTGTACCGTGACAGCATTATATAACTGCTTAAACAGACATGTCTTAATGGTAAAAGATAAATTAATTGTTTACTATTGATTTTTTCAAATTATAAAAGATTGCAATATCGCAATATCTCAGTAAATATTTAATATTTACCTGAATTGTTATTTGCACTTCCTACTTCACACGGTGTAAAGGTAAATAACTCCTCTATTAGTATATCAATCAGAATGAGGCCCGTACATGTTATCTTTAATAACTTATTAGGTAATGTTAGGAATTAACTTAATAGTAAACACCGAAATGACTCAAATATTTGAATAAAGTATATTGATTTTATATTTTGAAGTAAAGAAAATATATTTTAAATTTGTATCAATTCGATTAGATTGTAATTTTTAAGTCCGTGATCTAACTAATGAAAATTAATTTTTGAGTGAGTGTTCGCTAGGGACTTTGTCCGTATCTATTATCACAAGTTAAAAGGACTAAACAGATATCGGGTTAGAGGAAAGAAAATGCTTATATATTTAATTTTGAACAATTCTAGAAACTTTGAAATGAAGAAACACAAACAATGCGGGTTCTCTATATGATTTTGTGCATGTGCCTCCCTCAAACAATGAAAATGTGAAGAAAATGTGTCTCTGACGTGTATTCATTTTAAAGACGGTACGGAATACCGGTCTGTGAACAGGACACTGGAACTATCAAGTTGTGGTGATTAAGCGAAGTTATAGAGGCATTTCTGAAAATGAGCAAGTGCCTACAAATGGAGGGGAACGGTAACATTGATTGTTAGTTGCACTGTTGAATACGTTGGGAAATTCCCCGGTATTGGGGTCTTCCAGGACCACTTGCAAAAAGACAAAATGTAGAGGAACATATTGGAATAAGATTGCCAGGGCATACCTTCTTGGAATAACAACTTTTAACAAAAAACTAATAAATAATTAACCACATCAAGAAAGCAAACACAAACGAAACAAATGAAATAAGGCTGTAATGAACCAACTGTTCCTAAAATTCACTAAATGATGCTGATGAATAAAAAAAAGAATGAAATCAGATAAAATAATTTCAAGGAACATATATAGAACTATGAGGCTTCACGACAAAATATTAGTAAAAGAAAAAAAGAGGAGAAAAAACAAGCAAAAATCACACGATACAATCGAAAGTTCAGACAAAAGCACAATGCACCAAATCATTTCAAATTGATCTTATTATTCAAAGGGAGTGTATTTCACGATATTAAATCATTAATTGACAAGAGTTAATGGAGCGTCTAGAAAATTGGTATTTCTTTTTCCTTATTACGGGCCTCTTACTACAAGTAATTCTCACGGTAATGTAGAAAATACGTATATAGTATAATCTTTAAACCTTTGTTATAAATAATGTATTACTATTATAAAGTAGCATTAAAATCCAAAAAATATTTTTTTTTATTAAATGTAGTTAAATTTCATAATAAACATAGAATTTTAGTTCATAACTCTATATACTTCCTTTGTAAAGATCAGAGACTTCAAAACAAAGAAGGAAGATGGCCGACTCAGAAGGTCGGCTGTCACCTTCTTGTCTCGGTGAATTTGAAGACGAGGCACTTGATCCAAGGATACAGGTACTAAATACCATAAAAATTTGCTGAATCACAACCTTACAGTATTTTTGGCCGGTCAGTTTTCGTGTGACAATATATTTTAGCATCATCAAGAAAAAATAAAGAGTGGTCAGGTTTAAAAATAAACAGAAATACGCAAAACATTAAATTATCTGGAATTCTTCTGATAGATAAAAAAAACTCTTTGTGCTTTTACAGTACTCAGTAGGTAGTAAATCCCATGTAGGCATCTTAAATTAAAGTTCACAATCTGCTTATATGAAAAAGGCAAAGCCTCAAAGCGAGCTCGATGTACTTTTAACATGAACACTGATGAAATTATACAAATGTTATAGTATGAAATAATCGCTCATTTTTATTTCAAATGCAGTGACGTCACACGTACTGTGTTAAATATGGCTCCGCCCCTGTCGTTAAATGAATAACGAGTTTTGAAAACTTTGATAAAACTTTGTTTGTTTGTTTTATTTCACTCTATAATTTTTCAAGCGAAATAAAGATTATTAAAAGTGAAATAAATGTAAAACTTAAAACATTTACGACATTAAAATAGCGTACTTGATTTGATTGTTTTGCATGTGCTGTTTGGCGCTACATTGTGACGTCACGTAAACAATACTTTAAACGTCTGTACAGCGTTAACGACTGAATAAAAGATATTGGTGTTCGGATTCATTTTCTTAGTTAGACCATTTTCTTTCATTCTAGATAGTTTTCACAACAAAATTCGACAAAAAAATTGTTTTTATTTATCAGATTTTTCAAACAAAATGCCGCCTTCAATTTTCATTTTCTGTTTTAAAACTGTCATTCGATATTTTATACACAGCTTCCGTTATTCTGGTTCCCTTTCCAATTATGGTTCCCATAGACGTGCGCGGGTGACCAGTCTACACATCCGTTTTCAGTGAAAATTCCTCAGTTTTTATCGTTATCTTTCAATTCGAAAAGTTGCGATGTGTCCAATTCGGTACTTTGGACGAAAGTTTTCAAAACCATCACTTAGCAGGTACTCGCGTTACCGTAAAGCTCGCTTTGCGAGCAGGCCCTTCGGGCCAGCTCGTCAAGCTCCCTATAACACTGTAATATGAAAAAGGCAATGCCTCAAAGCGAGCTCGATTTTCTTTTATGGGAAGTGACTAGCCGTACGGCTAGCCAAAGGTTCTAGCCGTACGTGAGTCATGTATGACTAGCCAGGACTCACTGTGTTGTCTAGCCTTACAGCACTTTTCAAAATAATGTGAAGTCGAACATGCATGTGTTATTTTGTGCCTCATAATTTTGATTTGTTGTTTTATTTGTATGAAAGATGAATTTTTGTTAATTAAGCACATGGGTCGAATAAATAACGATCGGAGTGGAATAAATTAAAAGAACATAATTTTCAAATAATTTTCAAATAAAATACAGTAGATAATATCGAACATAAAAGCACAATCAATTAATTAGCCTTAATTAAAGCTTACCCAGGGACTGACAAAAGAATTTTCACGGAGCATGCAAACTTTCTTTAATGATGGACAAACTTCTATACCGTCGGCAGGGCCAAAAAACCCTTCTTTGTAGAGGCCAAATATAGGCTGCTTCCCCAACCAAACTAGCCTCTTTTTTTCCCCAGTTTGGTCCTCAAAATTCCCCAGTCTTTTGAAATTTCCCATAGAATTTATAACAAAATTAAATGATGCTGTTGAATTAAGGTCTTTTACTGCCTTATTAGTATTTCCCAGTGCTTTTTACTTTTCTATTTTGAAGGACTTGTTAAAAGTTTGTGTTAAATTTGAGACCCCTTTTCCCAAAATATGCCAAAATCACGCATATTTTCCCCAAGAAAAAGGCCGAGGCCCCTTCCCCAAAAATGGTGTTTTGGCCCTGGTCGGTAATTGACGCAATTATCAGAGCCCAACAACAATTATTTTTGTTTGTTTTTGTTTCATATTAAAGGTGTTGAAAATTTAACTTAATGAAACAAAAAAGGATTATCATCAAAATTTTGTAAACTATTTCAATTGATGTTATTTAACTGCGACCAAACGCTATTTTTTCTCGACTCTTGAGATGACAAAGATCGATATTCTCAGTCTTCGACTTAACCCACTCAACCGACGACCGAGTCGAGTAAATTTGCGGGTGGTCGAGTGAAAATTCCAAGCTGGTAGCCCGTCTGGTCGAGGGCTTTTTTCATATCCAAATTAAGAAAATGTTGGAAATATGCAGAGCTCCAGATAGCAATGTTTTGGCTTTATGAAAATACAATATATTTCTGCTGAATTGGATGGAAAACTAAAAGTACTATTGTCAACACTGCTGTAAGTTGAAAACGAAAGTAGCAGGAAGTGACATCGAGTACAAAGGGAAGGTAACTCTTGGGAGTTTCTAAAATGAAATTATTGATAAAGTTAAATTTGGTGTAATCATCGTAGGACTTAACCTAATATTCAATTTGTTTAGACATATATTATAATGTTTTTGCTACAAAATAAAGAAAAATGTTGTACTTGCCACTTTAGTTATTGGAAAACATATTTCTCCCTTACCATCAGTTCTGCAGTTTTGTACTCAATATTTTCGTACCAAGTTTACAGTTACGGACAATTTCCTCAAAGACTAATTCTTTGTGTATAAAAGTTTTAATTCTATTGTATTTATTTTTCATTAATTCTAATTTCAATTATGAATAATCAAAACCAAAGAATGGCACTAACATGTAGTCTGTAGAAATACAGTATGAATAAAGCCTCATGCTGACCATGTAGCTGATTGTAAAAGAATGTGACACATTCAAACAACAACATGTCAGCAACAAAAAAATGAGTCTTGTCATTAATTTGCTGTGTTTCCTAATTAAACCCTAGTCTAGGGAAACCTGCCTTAACAGAGCAAGTTTTGTATTATTTCACATTAAATCAATATTTTATTATAAGTCAGTCTGATTTATGTAAAGAAAGGAACTTTTTAGAAGGCAATGAAATTTGATAACAAAACAATGCAAATTCTTTTTATAAATTTTACCCCAGAATTTTCATTTTACTCTAGATTTTGACGAGTAAACCATGTTGGCCCTAAAAATTATTTGCAGCTTTATTGAACTTAAAACGTTTATGAAATATTATTGATTGTTAGACATTTATAAGGCGTCAACACATGCTTCACAATATGTCTTTTCTCTTGTATTTTGAAGGCACTAAGCCAAAAAGGAACACACCAAAAAAAAATATACGATAAAAGTAATACGAAAAGGAATATAAATATGTTGTCAATGCATGTATCAGCCGACATGGTTACAGTAAACGAGAAGAGTATTTTCAGTTTTTAAACAATTTTTTTCAGTGTCTGTGGACAATGCCACAGAACTATCAAAATATCTTCTTTTCATAATAATTATGTAGTTTAAACTCTTCTTATTTAAACAATGAAAGGAAGAAAGGAAGAAAAGTTGATTTGTTGATATTTTAATAATGTAAAATGGTATATAAAACATATAGTCTTTAGAAAGTGTTATTTTTGTACAAAATGTATGCAAAAAATACCATTATGGTTCGGGCTAGTTAAAATGTGTTTGGGCTAGTAAAATTTGTAAGCTGCTAGCCCGACTGGGCTAGTGCTGATAAAAAATTAAGGCCAAGACTGTATTCTTACTTTTTACTGTAGCCTACAAGGAGATTAATCTCTAAAAAGTAAACATACTAAGACAATTGCTGTTTCTTGGTTAAAATCCTCGCTTAAAGTCATAAAATAACATATGCATTTTCGACTTCCATATAATTTTGAAAATGCCGTACGGCTAGCCAATACAGTGTGTCCTTGCTAGTCGTACGTGACTCACGTACGGCTAGAACTTTTGGCTAGCCGTACGGGCCCGTACGGCTAGCCACTTCTTTCTTTTATACTAAATTTATAGTGGAACCCCATTGTATCGTGCTATTCATTGTATCGATCCAGGGTTCTCACTAGTCCATGGACTCCCAAGTCTGAAAAAGTTGGAGTCCACAAGCGCGTCGCAATTAATATGTTTAAAGATTAGTCATTTAATACTCACAATAGCATTGCTGATATTTTGAATCTTCAAGAGACTTTCAAAGTTTATAGTTATTCAAAACAAACTCTGAACTACATAGTATAATTATTGTTTTGTTGTTTATATTTATTATGAAACATAAAATTATAATGCATCAACACATGGAAATTGTGTGTTTTTTTCTCACTTTTATACCAAATCAAATTTTATTCCGGTTAAATAAGTCCACTCTTAAGACCAAAAGTTTGTATTTGTAAAAAAAAACGTAAATGTATATTGGCAGCGTTTAGCGGAATGAATAGGAAAATCCTGTACAGCTTCACAAAGTATATAAGAGATTCATCTGATCGACAATTATTTTAGCAAATATTTTCAAAAGGGGGCAAATTGATGATCGATATTTAAAGATTTAAAATTGATTAAATCACAAAGAAACAATTCATTCACATGTTTGGCTTGGAAACTGAGAACTTTTGTGCCCTTTGCGAAACTTTAGGGTTTCTGGCGAATGTGAAATCGACGATGTTCGGGATCAATTTTCAGATAGAATCTAAATATCAAAGAAAAGCGTATGTGTATTTTGGTTTGCTGTCCCGGCATTTCGGCACAATACATGTATCTTAAATTCTTAATACTCTTATAGAACGTTTTTGCAAGAATGAAAACTAAAGCAAAATTTTGCCTAGAAAATGCCGAAAATATTCGACAATAAGTCATAATTACACTCATTTGTAAACTTGCGGCGTAAATAGTCAATAGTTAATCATTTTGTCGGTAAAATTTGCTAATTTCCAATCAACTGTTGATCGAAGATAAAAAATTATCACCTCGTTATATATCTGGTTATTACATGTTTAGCGCGTGTATACATTAGTCTGATATCTATCTCGAGATAATGATTGAAAGCGTTATCGCTGATTGGCTAATCGCTTCACTGGTTGATGTGCATAGGACTGCCTAACTATAGACTGACACGCGCTGACGTAGTTGTAAACAATCGGTAATGTTTTTGCGTCCCCAGGCAAAATTAAGGGTTTGCGGAATCCTTGCTCTGAAATATTTGCGTCCAGCTATAATAAACATGCATACCTGGACGCTGAAATAAGCGTCACCGAGAACCCTGCAATTATATGGGAACCATAATAGGACAGGGAACCAGAATAAATGGAAGTAAACAGTGTATAAAATATGGAATGACAATTTAAAAACGGAAAATGTAAAATAAAATTGATCGATTATTTTATACTATTAATAATTTCACGGTAGCCTGGAACCCAGTTGTATCGATCTATTTATCCATAAATCACAACTGCAGTTAAAAATATTTAAATCTCCCTGAATTTTTATTTTGTATCATTTTTTTGTCATAATATTTACATGGCAGATATCACAAATATATAGTTTTTAGCTTTGGAATATACGGATATTTACAGACATGTCAAACAGGTTGAAGAATTAGGTCACGCCGTTATATTGAGGCATTGTGAGAATTGCCCAGTTAGTCAAAGATTGGGAAGCCTGACCTATCTTTATGCTAGATTTTTCAGTTAATTAGAATCAAAGATGTCTGTTTTAAATGTCAGCATAAATTTAGGAACTTTCAACAGACAGTTAAAGTACTTTTAATAAGAACGCACTATTTATATGTCTATTTATTATCTACAAAGTCTGACGGTACTGGAAACGTGTTTTTTATCATTTTTACAGCACAAAAAAATGCGAAAGATTTTCGTGACACTGTTGTAAATGTAAACAATCAGTAGCTTGTGCATTTTGCCAAAAAATCGAAAGATTTGTAAATAGATTGAAAACTGCATGGTAACTTGGTGATGGGTGTCATTTTCAGTATTTGTTTTATGTAAATGACAATAAAATCTTAGAATTTTATATTATTTTTTTGAAACAATACAGCTAGTAATTGGAAACTATACAGCTAGAATGTCAATGTAATATTTATTATATATTTTTATTTATAGGATGAATTAGAGAGGTTAAACAAGGCTTCAGAGGAGATCAACAGATTAGAGTTGGAATTAGATGTATGTAGAAATTACATTTAAACATTTTACCCATATTTTAACAAAAAGGAGATTTCTCCACATTTATATTTGTATAACACATGTATTGACAGCAATAGTTATGTCTGGTCCAATTGAAAGAATATGATTTTCTTTTTATAAAGAACAAAACAGAATCTTTGTTTGGAAAAACATAGATTACGCACAAAAAAATGAAATTCTGCATACAAAAAAATAAAGCAATGATAAATGGCAATGGTCAATTATAGCTAAGCTGTAATTTCCTTTCACTATGATGCAATGTGTCCTAATAAAAAAAGTCTATTTAAGTTTACAACAACATTATTGTGTAATTTTTAGATGACAGTCTTATTTGAACAATTGATTTGTTTGTAAATTTAAATTCAGTTGTATACTGAAATAGCAATTAGATTATCATTAGACTTACAGAATTAATATACACAAATGTATACATGTAATAATGATGTATATGAGCTTTAAGTATATGAGAAATATTTGAGTGATCTATACATTTAAACTGCAGGATGTGAAGTGGTTTCACTCTTCAAGTGAACAAACATGACCAGTGTGTATCTCCAATAACTTCATCAAATAAGGAAGTATCAAAGAAGGTCACACTGTCATTAACTTGCACATATTCACAGATATTTAAATGGAAACCTACTTACATGGAAAAAATGTAGTATACGTGTGATTCATATGCTGGTTCAATGAGCAATTTTACCATTTTATCCTTTTATTCACTCAAACCAAGTGTGAAATTATTTCATTTCCTATCTATATTATAGGAAACTCTGACATTAATTAGCTATTTTCGTTCTCAGGATGCACGAGCATCATTCAGACAGGCATTAACAGATTCTACATACAAACTTGATGCCTTGGCCAAGAAGCTTGGATCTTGTGTGGATAAGGCAAGACCTTATTATGAAGCTAGGCTTAAATCCAAAGAGGTATGAGATTGTATAATATATGTATGTGTAAAAATATTTTAGTAATATTTTCTATCTAGATTTCGTTTTTCAAATGAAAACATCAAGAGTTTTGTAAGTAATAATTGTTATAATGTAATTTTCTAACTAGAACGTCTCTGCTTGATGTATTAAGTATTTTTTCATGTTTCATATGTCAGAATTTAAGTGCAGATCAATTTCTGATGTAGTAATATTATAGGGCCGGGAATTGAAAAACGAATACGAATATTCGAAAGAGAAAATGTTTTTGTTATTTAAAATTTCAATTAAGATCGTAAATTAAACCATTGACTTTTACTTGACCAGGTGTTCACACGTTTGTATGACGCGTGTCAACGATTATCACCAATTAACTGTGAAAACTTTGGGGTCTTGTTGATCAAAAGGGCACCCGTTTCACAGTTTGCAATTTACCTGGTTAACAGTTTAGAATGTATTTTTTCTGATTTTAATTTTCTTATTTATTGATTTCTGTGCTATAATCTTTCCGATTAATCAATATTTGTATTAAATTTTGTGAAGAAGAATAAATCGGCATGCATTAATCGGTGGTTATGAAAGCATGGGAAGTGTCTATATTCCGTCAGAATATATTTATTACGTAGATATTACACTTCGTGTGATATTTACTGCATTATAGCTTTTATAAAGAATATTTTAAACCTTATCTAAAATTATAAATCAATAAAAAAATATTTATTACAAGTTAAGTTTCAATATAATTATTTGTTATTTGGGTTAACATTCTACGATGATTCATATTACTGTCAATCAAGTAACGTGAGTTACATCCCGTTAATAAGACAAATAGGATTAACTGAACAAAAGGCGATCAAATTATGAATTTATTTCAAATTATAAACATATATGTCGATTTACAATTATTGTCAGACAATATATAAAATAAAAAACTTTGACGTAGTAATAAAGGTGTTTTTAATCGTCGATTATTACAAGCATATAAAAGTAGTATAGTATTCAACGTAATCAATTTCGAATACGTATACGTCAAAGAGAAATATTGAAACAAATGTAAAAAACGAATATTCAAATATATTCGAATATGGAAAACAAATATTCGAACATCAAATTCCTTATTTGTTCCCAGCCCTATAATATTAAAAATCATACTCAAATACCTAGAAGTGGGACGTGGCCGAGTGGTTAATGCATTGGACTAGTAATCTATTGCTGACCAAGTGGGTTCAAACCCTGTCAGGGGCAAGCTGTTGTTTCCTTGAGCAAGAAATTTTATATTCATTGCTTAGTATTGGTTGGTTCCAGGAACAGATTGGAGAATGTTTCAATAAGCTTATAGCTTCCAACACAATTGAACTAAATAAATTTATATAAGCTAAATACCTCGAACTGCACTTCCACACTAATTAATTTTAGAAAATTTAAATTTTCTTATCATTTCAAATGTTGTAAATAGTTTACATTATTTTGACAGGTACATGTGGAGACACAGAAGGCTGCGTACATGTTTGAGCGTGCATGTAGCATGCATGAGGCAGCTAAGGAGATGGTGCAACTGGCAGAACAGGGTTATATGCAACGAGAAGACTCGGGGGACCCTGCCTGGCAGGAAATGCTCAACCATGCTACCATGAAGGTTAGTGGGGGTTTTTTTTGCTCTTTACTTGTATAAACTTCCAGTGGACTTGTGGATGTAGCTAACCTGATGTCTCATCCTGCCTGAAATAATGCATTAATTAACATCTAGCTCCACAAGGTAAAAGGGAAAATCTCAATTAGACCTTTACATTTTTAACCAGGTTTTCCGAAGGAAAAAACTGGTTATTAGATTGAGGTATTTCGGCGGGCGGCGGACGGGCGGGCGGGCGGGCGTAAACAATTTCTTCTGTGCGCAACTCCTCCTACATTTCTCAACGGATTTTGACCAAACTTTCACAGAAGCTTTGTCATCAAGTGCCCTGGCGCATATTGCCAGGGTTTTGCAATTGGTATATATTTGACCTAATTATGGCCCTTTGTTTTTTTTCCTTATATAAAATATATAGTGAACAATTTCTTCTGTGCGCAACTCCTCCTACATTTCTCAACGGATTTTGACCAAACTTTCTCAGAAGCTTTGTCATCAAGTGCCCTGTCACATATTGCCAGGGTTTTGCAATTGGTATATATTTGACCTAATTATGGCCCTTTGTTTTTTTTCCTTATATAGAATATATAGTGAACAATTTCTTCTGTGCGCAACTCCTCCTACATTTCTCAACGGATTTTGACCAAACTTTCTTAGAAGCTTAATTATCAAGTGCCTGGCACATATTGTCGAGGTTTTGTGATTGGATAATATTTGACCGAATTATGGCCCTTTGTATATTTTTTCCTTATACAGAATATATAGAGAACAATTTCTTCTGTGCTCAACTCCTCCTACATTTCTCAACGGATTTTGACCAAACTTTCTTAGAAGCTTTGTTATCAAGTGCCTGGCACATATTGTCGGGTTTTGTGATTAGATAATATTTGACCGAATTATGGCCCTTTGTATATTTTTTCCTTATACAGAATATATAGTGAACAATTTCTACAGTGCGCAACTTCTCCTACATTTCTCAATGGATTTTGACCAAACTTTCACAGAAGCTTTGTCATCAAGTGCCCTGGCGCTCACTAAATTCCCATGTTTCTTCCAAGACATCATTCAAGTATTTTTTTAAAATTGTGAACATACTTTTCTTGATATCGCACAAAACACCACACGCCAATATTGTTGACAAAAGAAAATGACAAGAGACGCAAAAATGCAAAAATTAAGCAAAAATAAAGTACTGTTTACCTTTCTAAAATATTTGGGGAAAAAAGGCGAATAGACAACATAAAATTTCTCAATCATTTTTGTTTGAGGAATATTAAAAAAGCCATAATTCCTCCTAAAAGTTCAATTAAAAACAAATGCCCCTTCATGACAAAGCTTTTGTGAAATATTTTGCTGAAAACCTGGTTGCATCGCATTGCGATGTTCCTTGTTTTTGTATAATTTAAAGAAGTGCATTGACCTTTGTGGCTGAGTGGTTAAGGCTGCTGGCTTCAAAACACATGCTCCCTAACCTTTGTGGATTCAAATCCTGTGACCTTTAATAATTTCATGTAAAGCTTGCATATGTTACATTGATGGTTTTACTCGAGTGCTCGCTCTACTCTCTGCTTGGGAACTCGCTGTGGGCTGTTGTGCTCGTTATTTGCTTTGGTGCTTCCTCATGGCTGAAATATGAACTTCTGAAAAATTGCCAGAAATTTCATTTACAGTGTCAAAATGTGACTTTTATCTAGTACCAGAAATTATTTATAAATATTTGTAATACCAGCAAATATTGGAATATTGAAAAATTAATTCAAATATTAGGGGCAAGAGAAATATTATTTCTCTTAATTTTTCCTTAAAGTTAAAACGAAAGTCATATATTTTTCTTTAGAAGTTTGCACCTGGCTAATTGTCTGCATTTTTGAATAACATGTGTCAATAATGCCATTATGTCTTATTTACTGTTAAACATTGAGAAACAACAGCAATAATCAAGTTTGTATACACCTGTTTTTTTTAACATCCTAGTATTTATAACCCTGCACCATTTGTTAAGTGGAAGATTTAATGTTTTAATGAAGTGTTTGTATAAAACAAGTGATGTCATGTGATAGGGAAAAGTGTTTACTCAAAGGGGAATTCAGTCTTTAAAATTGTGAAACGAGTGCCTTGTAGGTTCATAATTATAAGTTATTTACCAAGATCTATAACTATAGCATGTATTTTCACTGAACTATTACCTTTAGGAACTTAGAATTCTGGCAGGGCCTTACATTACTATTTAGTTTTGAGAACTTGCAGCTTTTCTTTATAAAGAGCAAGTAAATTTAATTAAAAATTTACTTTTTATGCATAGTTCTTTCCTACCTTATAATTAGTTACATTTGCATTGAACTGTTATGATGTTTTGATATGCTAATATATTCCACAGGTAAATGATGCAGAAATGGAGAGACTCGAAAGTGAGAAGGTGCACTTGAAGACAACTCAGAAGTTCAAGGAAGCTGAAGAACAAGTTCTTAAATTACAAAAAGATCTCAAGCGTTCGATTAACAAATCTAAGTAAGCATGTATCAAGTGTAGCATGATCAGGTGTTTAAGAGTGTGTCTTAGTAAAGAATGGATTTTTGTGTGGGGAAAATTGAACAGTTATTTGGGATGACTTGACTTTAATTGTTTTTACTAGATCTTGTTTTGTAGGAGTTACAGTATTAGGTATTTCTTTGTTAAAGCTACTGTCCCGCACAGAACAGGCTAAAACATCAATGTATTTGTTAACAGTTATTGAATATGAATAGAAGTAAAATTTGCAGTTTCCATGAGATCAGGGTGACCGTTAAAGTTGTTATGCCTCACTTGACACAGATATAAACACCGCCGTTTATCACACCTGTTAATTAGTAGTGAGTAGAACTGCTGGTTGAAGGTAGAACTTACTAGATAAATGTCAGTTTTAAACTGAAATAACAAGATAATTATGTTTGTCTTTAATGTTACTTTTTATCATGTTTATAGTCATTACTTTCTCTGAGTCTGATATGTAGTGCAGGATATAAAAAAGAACTTACCTAGTGCACAAATGTCTTACCCACCACCAATTGTCCTATGTGCAACCAGTTAATGGGTGTTTATATTTGATTCAAATTAAAAGGCAATGTTTACAAAATGAAACTTTGCAATGGTTTAGATTACAGCAGAATAAAAGTTACTAAAATGCTTTTTCATCGAACAAGACATGTATTAATCATCTTGTTCTATATAAATCTATGAGTCTGTAGTGAAAATTTTATATTTCCATAATATTATATTTAAAAAAACTGTCAAACTACCATGTGTGGGATAGTAGCTTTAAAAGTAATTTTGCATTGTAAAAGTTTAATGCATGGGATTAGAATATGAAAAAAAGAAGTTCTTAAGAAGTGAGTTGATGGTAAGTGTTTGTTTTTAGATTGCTTATTGAAGCTTTATGGAATGTTTTGTATGTCTGCAAGAATTCCTGTCCTTAGTTGAACCAAAATAATTATGATGTTTTCTTATTGTAATATTCCATGCAGCCATTCAAAAATAAGAATTTTTACCTTCTACCGAGCGTCGAGGCTGCCATTTTATGAGCCCATTGTATGATTTTAGTCATGTGATCATCTGCAGTGATATATAGCTTCATGATTCTACAATCTGGCCCAACCTCACCCACACCTACCCATAATGTCATCCTATCACTATTGTACCCAAGAGGGTAGATTACTGTGGCAGACAATTCAAAATTCACGATAGACAATGGATTTGAATGAATGTTGTAGTATTTTCCTAAAGTATTGCACACATTTGTGTTCAGTATTTCTATGAATTGGTATAAATTTATTAAAAATAAATGACTTTATATGTATTTGAAAGCTTTGGGTTCTAGTTTACTTAATAGCCTCAAACTTTGTTATGTGCATGCATGAATATTATAGATGTTGAGTCTATTCAATTGAAAACAACATCACATTATGGCAAAATCACCCTCAAAAAGAAAGTAACAGCTTACAAAACAATTTGACATACTTTTCAAGTTTTGTATTTTTGATATATTTTTTCTTGACCCCAAGTTCTTTCATATTATTAGTAATATGTACATATTGGTTAATAATGTTTGAAGCCTGTCTATTTTGATTTTTTCCAATATAAATGCAAGAAAATGTTGTCTTGCATGTGCAGATTACATTTATTCATACTTGTTATAGAATAAACCCTTTTTTTGTTCAAAGCATTTTGGCATGTCTGTCACCTAAAAGACGCATGAAATTACCTTTATTTCAGTTTTATTTCTAATAATTTTATCAAATTTAGGCTTAAATTTAATGAAAAATATTGTATGCTTTTTAGAAACTTTTTTTTTATTTAATTAACTTTTTTCAGTTTTTGATTTCTAAAATATTTAATGAAGAATTAACAATAGAATATTAAGTAAAAATTTTGTGGCAAAAAAAATTTAAAAAATTTTAACATTTAAAAATCTTATATTTTGTTATCACCAATATGGTAGAGTTTTGTAAAGAAGAATTTATAAATGTATGTCACAGCTGATTTTTTATTAAGAAGTATATTGAACGAGTGATATTTATATAGCTAAAATATGTGAATCTTTCCGCCACCAGATTGTCGGTCCGACGTAGCTTTCTCAGGCTCTCAGACATTGTTAACCAATATGAAATAGAACTCTTGTAAGTTGTTGGTATAATCATTGTTGTCTATTTATGTGTTCACTGTCCATAATTTATGTAAATATGTAATGTATTGAAATGTATTGTCTAAATATATTATTAATTGTCCGTTTGTGATAAGGATGAGAAAAATTAATAATTGTACATTGTATGTGAAAGTCGTAGATAAATTTTTGTGAGGTATGCTTTTGTATGACCAAAATCCCACATTGAAAAATATAATTATAACAGTTATTCCATTATGCAGATTTTAAGTGCTGTATTTTAAGGTTTTTCACTTCCTTAATCATGGTTGTTACAGAAAATAATGACTCATTTTATACAAGTGCTGCATCCAGTTATTTATGTCTTTGTCAAGTGTTTGAGCTTACAAGATTTTAGAATTAAGATCCTAATACATGTATATGAATACGAAATTTTATACTGTTAAGCTACTATTGTTAGGTCTTACTTTCTGTCAAAGACTGCCTCGTAAAAATATTGGTCTGAAGTTTCTATTTCTATTTATATTGTCAAACAAAAAATACCAAACATTTAATTGAAATTGTGCTTCAAATATAAATAGACATTTTATTGATACCTGGCTTATTTTAAGCTTTATTTTTGTTGACAATCTTCAGATACTAGCAAAAAAAAACCATTAAAATTGCAAAGACACCAATAGTTTCTATTTTGTAAACCTTAAGAATAAATAAGTTTTCATATAGGCTCAAATTGATGAAATTGTAGACATGCAGCATTAAATTATTATAATACAAATTTTAGCAAAGTTCACTTTTTTTCGTTGAAAATATATGTCCCATATTGATTTAGAAATACAAATTTTACTGTATCATGAGCTTAGTTACTAATAATAAATCAAGAATTGTCCAGACTTGATAATACAAAATGACCTTTTTCCTGTAAAAATTGTTGTGCTTAAAGTAATTAATGAAAATATCCATGTTCAAAGTATTTATGTATTTTTTATTGCTATTGCAGGCCATACTTTGAAATGAAAGCCAAATTCAATCAAATGATGGAGGTGAGAGCATTAATTACTTGACAAAATATTATCCTTGTTAACATGTACATTCATGAAATAAAATCTTATATGAATATGTATTCACAAGTTTTTATGAGACACCATTATTTATTAAATAACTTTTTACATTTATTGTTTTTAGAAAGTTTATGAGTAATAAGCTGTGATAAGTAACATAGCAAATGTTTTTCAGGAGAAGAGTAATATTTTATTGTTACTTTAAAAAATGCTTTGTCTTCTTTTACAGGATAGAAAATCAAATGTAATGATGTTGGAAGAATCTGTAGCCGGTACTAAAAAGACATACTCAGATGCTCTCCGTAGTCTGGAGGAGATCAGTGAAGCAATCCATCAAAAACGTATTGATATGCGTAACCAGGCCGAGCTTGGAATACGTGGGGCCGGTGTGGGGTCCGAGTCCCCATCTCCACCTCCGATGAGGGGTAAAGTTCATGTTCCCATTGATGGTAAGACAACGCATTTAGCTAGTAGTTGTAATACGGGTAACAGTCCGACAACAGTCACATCTGCTCAGTTTAGCGTAAGCGATACATCTAGTCAAGATTTCCGACCTCCGTCAGTCATTTACTCGTCCCCCGAGAAAGCTCGGAGAGAGAGTTATCGCCAGGCAATCGAAGCGAGACAATCCATGCAGGGTAACCTTAACGATATAGGTGAAGACTACAGTGTTAACCTTGATGATGAGTATTTAGCTTTACCGAAAAAATTATCAAAAAATAGTTCTAATGAGGACGTGTCTGATGATATATTTGATAAAAGTAAAGACGGAGCTGCAACACAGGACTCTTTAAGTATTGATACAAACACTTCAGATGGATCCTCTAATTTGTCCACATCTCCAGCAGGAATGGGCAAAAAGCCATCTTCCAAATTGAAAGGTCTCATTTTAGTCCCTGTTGGGGCAGGAATGGACCCTTTACAAGCCAACATAAAAATAACTACAAAACCACATGTGGCAAGGTCAAGAACTGAACCAATAAGGCCAATGTCATACCCATACACTCATAATACTGATAACAAGAATAGAGTTGTCACCCCTACTGCCAGCTCTTCAACCAAAGAGGAAAAGAAAGTAGGAATGGAAGAGGAAATCACCACTCCAAGTTCAGAAAAGTCATTCAGGAGATTGTTGAAAGTTCCGTCGGTGCAAGACTTTGATGAGGGGTCTATATCTGATACAGAAAGTATTACAAGTGGGACAATGCTTGACGATGACCAAGTAGAATTTCTAACAATGGACTTCTCAAAATGTAGATTAGATTCACTGGAGGAAAGGCAAGAAATTCATGAATACAGGAGGTTTAGTTTGCCTCCAACTCTAAGTCAAGTAGAAACTTTTGTTCGACAAGTGTCAAATGAAAACGAGGCCAGTAAAAGTCCGGAAGGTTTAGGTGCTGATGTAAATGACACAACAAATAATACTCTAACAGCGGAGAATATAGTGGATCCTGACACTGTATATGAAGTTTGAACGAGAAAATAATGGCATTTTTGTGTCGCCTCTACGGAGTAGTGGCGACATATAGGGATCACTTCTCCGTCGTCTGTCTGTCTTTAATTTTAAAGTTTGTCCGGACTACTTCTCTTATACCACTAATGCAATTTCAATGAAACTTTACAGGATTGATCTGTAGCTCAAGTCCTTGCGCATATTGCACGGGTTTTCTGGTTGAATGATTTTTGGCCGAGTTATGGCCCTTTGATAAAAAGCTGTTTTTTTCTGTGTGTTGCCAGATACGCAAAAGCTTGTGCGGACTACTCCTCATAAACTACTGGTGCAATTTTATCCAAACTTTACAGGAATGATCAGTACCAAGTCTAGTTGTGCACTGTCTGTCTGTCTGTCCGTCTGTCACAAAATTTGTCCCAACATGAAATTGGCCATCATGAGGCGACACATGTGATTACTGATCGCTCTTGTGAGAAATAGGTGTTTTTAGACTTTTACACAGAAAAAAAAGCTTTAAATTTGATTATATCTTTTTTAATGGCATAATAAATTATTTTGATTTGTAAAATGATGGAAAATTAAAAACTTGAATTATATTATATGAATATTTCATATGAAAGTGTAATGTTTAACATTTATTTTGAAAAAAAAGAAATTTTTTTTTTTTTTAGATTTAGTCATATTTTCTAATTTTCTTTAAAAAAAATTCATGAAAGCAATATTCTATAGCTTCTCAACATCACATACCAGTCTAAATACAGTCTAGTAAAAAATGAATGAATTACATTTAAGGTAATATTTTCGTTGTCACTTATATTGTAGTCTAATTATAGAATTATTTTTGTCTTCAATCAGTCAACTTCGCTAAACCATTCACCCAATTCATTATGGAACTTTGAAATCCACAATTTATGTAAAATTTGGGAATTTATTATAGGCATATTCTATCATTCATAATTTTTCTTTTTGAAATTGCAACAGTGGTACAATTTAAGCTTTACTTTTAATTATTTATTAACCCAAATATGTCATTCTTAAATTTCTATATTTGTCCTGGACAGATTAACACCTAGTTATTATATTGCAATGAAAATGCTATTGTGTTATTTTTTTCTGAATGATTAATAACAGACATTCAGTTTTTACTAGGCTACAGAAAAATATAGTACAGTTGATGTTGTGTTGTCTAGTTTTAAATCAATACTCAATTGAATGCAGCATTTTTTGAGATTTTGGTGCTGTATGAATGGTTTGGAAAAATGTGAAACTTTGCTTAGAAAAATGTGAAAATACATTGTTTAATTGGATATTTACGTATTTATAAGGCAAAAATAGGATTTTTTTTCGTGTAGAGCTTGTTTAAAGTGGCATGGTTCTATACATAGGTACAAGTGGCAGGGTTCTTTACCTTGGTAAAAGTGGCAAGGTTTTATAACTTGGTAATTAGTGGCAAGGTCCTATAACTTGGTAAAAGTTGCAAGGGTATATGACTTGGTAAAAGTAGGAAGGTTTTATAACTTGGTAAAAGTGGCAGGGTTTTATAACTTGGTAACAATGGCAAAGTTCTAAAACTTGGTAATAGTAGCAAGGTTCTAAAGTTGATAAACGTTGCAAGGGTCTATAACTTGGTAATAGTAGCATAGTAGCAAGGTTCTATAATTTGGCAATGATGGCAAGGTTCTATAACTAAAAAAAGCAAATATTAGGAAAATTAATGACTGTAAAAGGAAATATAGGCAACAGAAATTCGAGAAATAGAATCCTAATAATGTATATTACTACAATAAAAGGGGAAGATCATTATAAGATGGAATTATTCATTGACAGAAGACTTGATTTTTAAAATTTATATGCTGGCATTGAAAACAGAACTTTGCCACCAGTATAGAGATGGGAAAATGTTTGCATTCAGATGAGACAATGCAGTTTGTAGCTAGATTCCAGCATAATAACTACCAAAATCTTTAAAAGCTTTAATGCCCTAGAACTAAATTGAAAACTGGTCAAGTCTATTGTTTAAATTTTGGGAGATGTTAGATATGCAAAATATGCATTACATATAGGCAAGAGAAAAAGCATTTGCGAATCAATTTGGATGTAATGGTGAAATATTTTGAATTAACTGCAATACTTGTTAAACATGAAATGTGATATATAAGTTGAGTATGTACATGTGTAGGTAAAAACAGGGTGTTACAATTTTATTAAATGTTTTTTTAGTCATGATAGTCAGTCATGTTATAATGACAGAAAATTTGGTTAACATTTATTGTTTAAGTGATAGTAATTATGAAAGCACTGCGTGTTTGATGGTAAAAATGATTTTCTGAATTCTTTAGAAAAAATGACTTTCTATAGTAATATAAATGTTGTAAGATGAAAGTAAACTTTTTGTTTTCTTAATTTGATTTTTTACTCTTTTAGAAATGTTTTATTAATATTTTCTCCATTGAAAAAGATACTGATTTTTCATTTATTGTTTTCTGTTTTCTCTATTTTAGAATATAGGTGTTTATAGTATCCTGCATTTGTTCAGTAGAAATCTCTAGACCTCATTTTTGTATTGTTTTTGTAAAGTGTGATATATTCTATGTTCACAAAAAGAAACATTTTACAGAGTTATTAGATACCTCATCACTAAGTAACATTATTGTGTTATTTTTATGTACACTGTAAAGCATGTAGGATATTTTAATATGTTAAGGATCCAGATCTCAATATAGTTGCTGCCAATGAATGAATGATGAAGATGTTGGAAAAAAGTTGTGTAATTAAACTAATACTTTAACCTTTCCCATCAGTCAACAGCCATGCAGACTGACCCAATCTGTCTTCAAATCAGCTTTAATTTCCCATCCTGATATCCCCAAAATTGATAATGTTCAGTTTGAAAAAAAAAAAAGAAAGCTGGAGAATTCCATTTAAGACATTCAGCTGGTTAAATATATTAACATAACATTATTTTGCGTACCTGATCAGGATGGGATACAAACAATTTAAGTGGTGATAACCTCATCTTGCCTCCTGTAGAGATCTAAGCCATCATGTAAATCAATGGACTCTGGTCAACATAAATGTAGTCTGTCCAGATTTTATACTTTTAGGTACTTGACTTTAGGACATTGATACTCGAATCCATTGAATTATTAACTGTGTAATACAGCAGTCATACAGTCTATATTATTGACTGGCTAGCTTCAAAATCAAATCTAGATGTTCCGAAAATTGATAATGAACAGTTCCAAAAATAGAAGCTAGACAAGTCCATTTCTTTTATTCAACAGGTTAAGTGTTAAATAGCAATTGTTTTGTGTCTTTGAGGTAAAATCTAGATGTTATTATCTCAATATTTTAGTAATACAGTTTTAATTGTGATATTAGATATAAAAAGTTTTAGATTTTTATATGTAACGTAAAGATACAAAGATCAGCATACTGTTAAGATTTTTATTGTAACTCTCTAAACTCTGTAATGTCAAGCAGCTATAATGACTTTTCTATGGCCACTGAATAAAGCCAGACAATTCTTTAAAATGATGTTGTCTGAAAGAGTCTATTTTATTGGCTGTATAAGTTTGTTTTGAAATCTCTTCAAATAACAATGGGCAGTTATAAATTCAAAGACACAAATTTAGCAGGCTTATATTCATCATTGTATGAGGGATGTTATATTTATTTCTTATATACTTACTATTTTAATACACAAAGTTTGGATTTTTGTGAGCATTTTGTTTGGACACCAATTTAGACTTTCAAAATTTTCATATTTTGAAACTTTTACTGAAATTTGTCATTATGATCCCCCTTCCTCCCTCCCTCTATTTTAATGACACTTCCCCTTTCCCTTTTTAATTTATTCAGATTTCATGTATGTGAGTGAGTATAGTAGATCTTATAGGAAATGAATCTCTCTCTATGATTTATCTGTTTTATTTTGACTCTCACACACACATGCAGTCTAACCAGGCTGTTGGCTGACCCTATTTTAAATTTTTATCTTGATATCCCAAAATTTATAAAAAGGATCCTGGATAAAACCATTGAAGAAATTTAGCAGGATCAGAACTTTAATGTTTGATGTACTAAGCACTAAGCCAAAATTTTACTGCGATTTGATGAAGTTATTTGAACTAATTCTTCACTTTTCAGTGAATGAATTGAGTTTATTAAGCTTAAATGATATTTCAGCTTGTCTGTTTTTGAAGAAAAAGTCCTGATATAATGATCACTGTGGCATTCGATGCAAAAATCTTTCTAAGGGAACCCATTATTCATACATCAACATGAAACTTGGAATATTTGCTTATTTTGACTAGATGCAGTTGTTAGACAAGGGGCATAATTCTGAAAGCTATATTTTTGTAGTTACGTCCCTTCTTAACTTAGAATTTTTGTCAGAAGTGATTATTTTAACAGGCAAGTATTAACACTGCATGTAGTGCTCTTGTTTACAATGGTTACAGTGTTCCATTGTGATGACAACAGATTTTCCTCAATTTTCAGACATTTAAAGGTTGATTGTAAAGTTTGATTGCCTATCTTGAAAAACAAATTTAAATGTGCATCATACAGCTTTTAACTACTAGTACCTACAGTGATTGAACTTTGCCACCAGTATATAGCCAGGCCAGCTTGCACATCCATGCAGTCTGACCAAGCTCTGTAATGTTGGCTGAATAACTTTAGATTTCATTTTTTATATCCCCGAAAATGGACAATGGGCAGTTTAAAACACTGATCCTCGACAAGTTTGTTTACCTTTAAGTTATAAATTGAGATAAGCTGATTTTTATCTCTTAAAATGTTGAATAATTTAATTCTGTAGCTCATGCATGGAATACATTTGTTGTACTTTATACAACTTTTTAAATAAATAATGATTAGCTTCGTAGGTTTGTGTAGAGGTATCATGGATATTTAATGATTGTAATGCAATACGAGACAGTGTGTGTTTGAACTTAATGGGGGGTCACCCATGTTGAGTAAATGTTGACGGTTATGAATTGTTTATATCATAAATGTATCACAGCAAAAGTTGTTAACATTTTGTTAGTTTTATATTGTTTTAGAGTGATATAAAAGTTAATAAACAATAGTTGATTACTTATTTGTGTTTTGTATTTGTTGTTTAAAGTAGCCCAATAAGCTAGCTGCATGATAAAAATAGGTTATATTAATGGGTGAATTGCATGTCAATTCGCTATAGGACCGTTTCAATACGGATCGCAATGTGTTTGAAGTTGATGATTTAGGGTTAGTTTCTTTTGTATTGTTTTGCAATATTAACCTGAGGCATTTGAATACCCAATTGCCTTTTGTACCGATTCCCAAGTAAACTACAGATTTTAAGTTTGGTCCAACAGTATTATGTATAATTGAAAATTGCTAACTTAACATTAGCCTCGAAGGTTGTACGTTCGAATCATGATGGAACTTTTTAGCTCACGTGAGCTTTTTAGGATCGTTGAATGTCCGTCGTCCGTTAACACTTTAGCGGTCACATTTTTGTCTCGATTATCATCAACCATGTTCAGGATGGTTGTCTAGGTAATTCTAGGTTCTAGGTCATCTCAGATGAAAAACTAGGTCACAGGAGCTAAAAATGGAAAAAATCTTGTTAAAACTCTAGTGACTACTACGTTGCTCCAAATATCCTGGAAATTGGTCTGAAAGTTTGTTTTGACGATTTCTAGGTCAAGTTCGAATATGGGTCACCTGTGGTCAAAAACTAGGTTTCACCGCCTAAATATGGAAAAACTTTGTTAACACTAGTGGTCAAATTTCTTATTCAATCATCATCAAACTAGGCCAGGATGCTTGTCTAGGTATTGCTCGGATGAGTTCGAACATAGGTCATCTCAGTTTAAAAACTAGGTCACAAGTGCTAAAATAGAAAAGTCTTGTAAACACTCTAGTGGCTACTGTTTTGATCCAAATATCCTGGAAATTGGTCTGAAAGTTTGTTTTGATGATTTCTAGGTCAAGTACGAATATGGGTTACCTTGGGTAAAAAACTAGGCCACATCGCCCAAATATGGAAAAACCTCGTGAACACTGGTGGTCACATTTTTGACTCAATTGTCATCCAACTTGATCAGGATGCTTGTCTAGGTAATTGCTCGTATGAGTTCGAACATTGGTCATTTCGGACAAAACAAACAAGGTCATAGGACCTAAAAATATGGAAAAACCTGGTTAACACTAGAGTTCACATTTTTGACTCAACTGTGATGAAACTTGATCAGGATGCTTGTCTAGGTAATTGCTCGGATGAGTTTGATGGGTCAGGTGAGCGATCTAGGGCCATCTTGGACCTCTAGTTATTTTTCTTAAATCACTATTATATTTTGCGAAACTTGAGCATTCTGTTTAATGCATGGAAATCACTCATTGTATGGCTTCACATTTTGAAACAAACGAAATAAAATGTTATACATGTATATCTATCAAAGTTATGAACTTTAAAATGATATACGCCAGAAATCAAACATGTGGTTATCAACTCTTGTTGCATTTTATTAAAACAAGCAATTCGTTGAATTTATATCCCCTGCCAAGTACTGGGTTCTACTAACACAACAAATGGAGACGCTTTATATATTTATCATGGCATGTATTGATTGTTCCAATAAATTTTCATTGAATTCCAACCAGTAAATGCAGGGAAATAGCGCAGAAACGATTGTTGCTCTATATGCATACTGCATAACTCTGTGTTGAAGGGTCTGACTAGTACAAGATGACTATATGCACATCTCCTATTGGTATTGATTGTTTCCACAAAGTGTTCTTGAATTCCAGCCAGTAGTTGCAAAGAAATAGTGCGGAAACGATTATTGCTCTATATGTATACTGCATAACTAATCAAGGGTCATAACTCTGTGTTGAAGGGTCTGACCAGAACAAGGCGACGATATTGGCATCTTCTCTTGGTATTGATGGTTCCCATCAAGTTCCATTGAAAATCAACCATGTTGTTGCAGAGAAATAGCGCGGAATCGATATTCTGACGAACGGAAGGACGGACGGACAACGCCAAAACAATATCCCCCTCCCGATTCCATCGGCGGGGGATAAAAATGAAATAACCAGTTCTAGAAATCTAAATAAATGATTTGTCGAGGATCGAAACTTACCACACAAGTTCACTACTCGATAATTGGACCGTGATTATGGATTAAAATATTGACATTAAAGTCACAATGGGAAAATTACGGAAACTAATGAAAAAACTTCCTGAAATTTTGTAAGTCTCGTTTCTATTTTGCCATACTATGGCTATTGATTTCAAATCCAAACAGGGATGCAGAATTCACTGTAGGAATCAAGCTATCCAGGTACTGTAAACAAGTGCAGTGGCTCTAAACAGGTGTCCAGGTATTCTTAAACTTGCAGTAAAGCAACTTGTAGGGGGCTTAGATGTTTAGTTACTTAGTATGTAGCATCTTCTAACGAAACTCCTCGATATAATGTTTTAAATCATTGCACTGGTGTCGTAAATTGCTCTACCGGAGTGTTTCTATTGTTTTATGAAAGAAAATAAACTAGACCTTCGGTAATTAATATCTAGCATTGCCGTATAGACACTATGAAAAGCTGTATAAATCATGGCCCTTGGGTTGAAACAGTTTTGTAATAGCCTTTCTGGATATACCTTTATAATTTATTCACTGGTGTCTATCCTTAAACAAAATATTCATTAGGTTCCATTTCCTCACTAGATAAAGGTGTTATAATAATAGTTTAACTATTTCCACATACATATCTCTTTTTATTCCGGCAAAACTTTACAGATGTTTAATCAATAATTGTCCTTGAATCATAAAGGTTCTTCCTTGATGTTTCAATTGTTTTGTAATATTATCCTTTGAAACAAAAAAGACTCTTATATTATTGATATACAGCATTGTCAAAGGGACCTCTACAAATACACACAAATCATGACCCGTTGGTCAAACGCAGTCTCAAAATGATTATATTAAAACACCCAGAAAATTATTCATATATCGGAGATTTTGATATGTATATAGCATTGTCTAGTTTGATTTTTTTCGTCAACTTTTCAAATCACTGAGTTAGAAATAACGGTTAATTGCGTTAGTAATTATGATGTTATCACCGGGCGGAAATGACAGAGTGGTTTTTAGCTCACCTGTTACAATGTGACTCGGTGAACTTTTGTGATCCGTAAACTTTTACTTTAAATGACACCTCCTCATAAACGGGTAAGGCAATTTCATCCAAACTTCACAGGAATGTTCCTTTGATGATCGCCTTTAGAATTGTTCAAAGGATGTTATTCCATGCCGAACTCTGGTTGCCATGGCAACCGAAAGCAAATCTTTTAATAACCCCATAGAGCTAGAGCTTAGATATTTAGCATGAAACATATTCTAGTAAGAGTCTACCACGTTTATTGAAATAAAAGCACTGGAGTCAAAATTGGACCCGCTCCGGGGGGTCATTTATTTTTCTTATATGTACACATTTTTGGAACTGTTGTTTCCTTTAGCAGTAACACCTAGTAAAATGTTTTAACACATGAACTGTTTCAGATACAAATATGACCTTTGTGATATCAGTTTGAGATTTAGATTTTATATCTGTTTTTGTTTATAGTTTACAATATAACTTGTTCCTTGTCATGGAGAGTTATTATATTCAGGTGAGCAATTTCAGGGCCATCATTGCCCTCTTGTTATATATTTTTTACCGTTTTAACCTCATTATTTTCACTGCAGTCTATCCTTAAACAATATTCATTTGACAGGTAATTAGTTCCAGTTGCTATAATAAAAGAGTAACTATATCCAGTAACATACCTCTTTATATATTCTTGTATGCCTTTTACAGTTGTATGAATGAAAATGTATTACTTGGTATGAAAGAGCATATTTTTTATGCTTAGTTAAGTCCAAAAAATGCTGTATTTTTTTAGCTCACCTGTCACAAAGTGAAAGGGTGAGCTTTTGTGATTGCTTTTCGTCCGGCGTCCGTCGTCCGTCCGTCCGTCGTCCGTCCGTAAACTTTTACTTTAAATGACATCTCCTCATAAACTACTAAGCCAATTTCATCCAAACTTCACAGGAATGTTCCTTTGGTGGTCACCTTTAAAAATTGTTCAAAGAATCTAATTCCATGCAGAACTCTGGTTGCCATGGCAACCAAAAGAAAAAACTTTAAATATCTTCTTTTAAAAAACCATAAGAGCTAGAGCTTAGATATTTGGCATGAAACATCTTCTAGTGAGTGTCTACCAAATTTGTTCAAATAAAAGCCCTGGGGTCAAAATTGGCCCCGCCCCAGGGGGTCATTGATTTTCCCTATATGCATATAGTAAAAACTTTAAAAATCTTCTTTTTAAGAACTCAAAGAGCTATGGCTAAGATATTTAGCATGAAACATGTTCTAATAGGTGTCTACCAAGTTTGTTCAAATAAAAGCCCTGGGGTCAAAATTGGCCCCGCCCCGGGGGGTCATTGATTTTCCCTATATGCATATAGTAAAAACTTAAAAAATCTTCTTTTAAAGAACCCAAAGAGCTAGAGCTAAGATATTTAGCATCAAACATGTTCTAATTGGTGTCTACCAAGTTTGTTCAAATAAAAGCCCTGGGGTCAAAATTGGCCCCGCCCCAGGGGGTCATTGATTTTCCCTATATGCATATTGTAAAAACTTAAAAAATCTTCTTTTAAAGAACTCAAAGAGCTATGGCTAAGATATTTAGCATCAAACATGTTCTAATAGGTGTCTACCAAGTTTGTTCAAATAAAAGCCCTGGGGTCAAAATTGGCCCTGTCCCAGGGGGTCATTGATTTTCCCTATATGCATATAGTAAAAACTTAAAAAATCTTCTTTGAAAGAACCAAAAGAGTTAGAGCTAAGATATTTAGCATAAAACATGTTCTAATAAGTGTCTACCAAGTTTGTTCAAATAAAAGCCCTGGGGTCAAAATTGGCCCCGCCCCGGGGGTCATTGATTTTCCCTATGTGCATATTGTAAAAACTTAAAAAATCTTCTTTTAAAGAACTCAAAGAGCTATGGCTAAGATATTTAGCATCAAACATGTTCTAATAGGTGTCTACAAGTTTGTTCAAATAAAAGAC